ACTAGTATACCAAACCTTACATGGTATAAGACTATAAACACTAAGGGGCCTAAGTGCTCTGAACTAAAAGTATACCTCAAATATAAGTATTTTCAAAAGTATACAAAGTATACCTAACCATCTAAATCCGTAACTACAAGTAGAACATAACATAAGTAAATGGGTGTTGTATGTTGCGGTTAAACCTGGGCAGTTATGTAGTCGTGTCTGGGATCAATATAGCCTGGCCAACTATATTCATTTGAGACGGCCAACATGTGCTTGGGAGTGACTGTGGTGTGTGGCATGCCTAAAACTTACCCAATACCCAAACAATGAGCCGTCATTGCAGCGAGACATGAAAGACTTTGGGAGTATTTCTTGAGTCAAATCCATTATAGAAATCCTTATCCCAGCGTTCCTCCTCAATCATTCCCTTAGCGATAGTTTATCTGCTTTGATAACTCTTTCCTACTTTATCGCTTAGTAGAATTGTATATCTATCATAATGAGATATCCCTTGTATCATATCTCTTGATTCAATTCAGAGGACTTACCATTCTCTCTTTCCTGATCTTTATAGATCAAGATTCCTCCAAGAAAGAGACCCTACTCAAAGAACAAAAATAATCCTCCTCCGCCACCACCTCCTCCTCAATTTGATCCTGTCGTGTTCCAGGCAGCTGCTGTTGCCGCAGTGACAACCACCTTATCTCACATAAACCCCGGTGGTTCAGGGGGTGGTACCCAAACCCAAAACCAGGAAGGTAGCCAAGGACACCGGAAGGAGTGTTCCTATAAGGAGTTTATGAATGCGAAACCCACAGTCTTCGATGGCACAGGAGGTGTCATTGCCCTAACTAGGTGGTTAGAGAAAATCGAATCTATCTTCGAGATCTGTGCTTGTTCAGAATCCGACAAGGTGAAATTCGCCGCTTGCACGCTCACCGATAAAGCTCTTACTTGGTGGAACGGCCGAGTCAAATACCTAACTCTACCTGTAGCCAATGCTATGGGTTGGGAAGTCATGATGGAACTTTTGCGCGTGGAGTATTGCCCTCGGGGTGAAATTCAGAAGCTGGAGCATGAACTCTGCAACCTGAAGATGAAAGGTTCCAATATCGCCACTTACACTTCAAGGTTTGACGACTTGGCGCTTCTTTATCTAGGGATGGTTACCTCGGAAAGTAAGAAGATTGAGAGGTTTATCTGGGGGTTGACCCAGCCAACCAAAGGGAACGTTTTAGCTGTGAAGCCGGATACATACGACAGCGCCAAATGCTTAGCGCAAATCATGATCGACCATAGTGAGAACATCGAGGAAGTAGCCACCACTCTTGAGCCGACAGAAAGAAGTGGTGAGAAAAGAAAATATTGGGAGACAAAGGAGAAAAGTCAGGCTTCATAGGAGTTCTCGAAGAAACAACAGATAGTGGCAGTCCACGCTGCCACTACCCCTACTACTGTTTCTATCATCGGTTCCTCAGCCCAAGCACCTATCACCGGATATGTCGGTATTCTCCCGTGGTGTAACCAATGTACTTACGACCAGCGCATCCCCGGTCCCTATCGTGTGAAATTTTGCAAAATTTGTGGCCAAGAGGGTCACCTTGCGCGAAGTTGCAGAACATCAACCAATCAAGTCTCCAGAGCAGGTATCAGTCAGGCTTGCTACGGTTGCGGCGAAGTCGGGCATTATAAGATAAACTGCCCCAAGATAACAACAGCTGGCAACACTGGAAGAGTCCTAGCTATAGGACGAGGTGAGACGGCCGTCGATCCCACCGTTGCCTTAGGTATATTCCTCTGTGACACCCCTCTGCTTGCAATCTTTTTCAATTCTAGTACTGAGAGATAAACTGTTAGCTGTTCATTCGAACATCTTCATAAACATAGTCCTCAACTAATAACCGAAGCGTTTAACATCGAGATAGTTAACGGTGAGAAAGAAGGCACGTTACATTCTGAAACGCGTATCCCAAGGTACATAGAACTTTTCAAAATCCTCATTACGATTGATTCCATAGCTTATAAACTCCGACTACCCTCAGGAATTAGCAGCATCCATCCGGTATTCCAAGTCTCTGTCCTTAATAAGTGCCTACACGATGAAACCCTAGTAATCCCTTTGATGAGACCAAAATCAACGAAAGTCTGAGCCTCATGATAGAACCAATCGAAATCATATATCGAGAGATTAACGTACGAAAGAAAGTCATATCCCAACAGTGAAGATTCGCCGGAAAGCCACACTAGAACTCGAATTCACTTGAGAGCGCAAAAATCCAACAAAGTAGAAGTATCCGTATTTCTTTCCGAATCCATAAATTGTATCTAAAGTTTGAATTTCGGGACGAAATTCCCTCTAACGGGGGGATAATGTGACAACCCGAAGTTGTTCCATCACCGTAACCCTTTTTCCGTCTATAAAATTTGTCTTTTTCGAATCATTTCTGTTTACATTTTTAAAATTAAGTCATTTATTTCGAGACTTCTATTATGACTTAATTAGTATCCAAACCCATTAGAAACTCAAGAAAACACCCCAATATGATAATTAGATAAATTCTAGTTTCGACCATATCCGGTTACGACAACTTAATCGGGTGCAACCAAAAGCCTCGGTTAACGTCAGTATCGGGTAGAATTCTACCGTGTCCCAAACCCGAACCATATATAAAGTTGATTAAGCCCCATTTGAAGCTTTTTCACTCTCTCTCTAACCTCTCTCCTCAAATCCATACTCTATGTCCAAAATCATCAAATTAAGGCTCCAAATCATCAAGGTAACTATCCTAGCTCGTAGTATAACATCTTAACCTTCATTTTCATGTTCAAATCATGGATTAGGACCATAAACATGTGTTTACGGCCCTGGAACACTCTTGGGCCATGAACACTTATAAAATGGGTTTTGGAGCCCAAAAACCCTTCCAAACCACATCAGGAGCTTAAATATGACTTAAAGGCTTAGCAAACTGGACTTAGAACACCTTGAGCTCATCATTTAAGGAGTAAACATGAGTTTACTGCCGAAGAACATGCTTGGGCCGTAAACACCCATTCATGGCTAGTAAACTCCTTCTAAGGTGTTAAATTGCCATTGAAAGACACCAATAGCCTTGGATTAAAGTCTAGAACCAACCACAAACGACTCAGAGGCCTTAAACTTAATTAAAACCACTTCCATAGGAGCTTACTGCCGTAAACCCCCCCCCCCCCTAAGGACGGGTTCCTAGGCCGTAAACTCCTATAACTTAGTCAAATGGTGCCTTAAATTCATTCTATGGCTTGTAGATTTAGCTATAAACACTTCTAAATGACCTAGGACCACCAAAACATTAAAGGAAAGTGTGTGGGGGAGTTTATGGCCGTAAACTCCTAGTTTACTGCCGTAAACTCCATTAAATGGTCCATATGTGAGTCTAATCCGTTCCTATGCCCTAGATTTGATCCTAGTTAATTTCCCCAAGTGACATTTGACCATTTAGGGCCGAAAACTCCATAAGGAGATTACTCTTGAAGAGTAAACACATTATCCAAACTATATATGTCCGTAGATGTCACCCGGGTCACTCCAAACACTCGATTTGAAGTGTTTTCGCGTCTTGGATTGTATAATCATATCTAATTAGTGATTTAAAGTCTAATTAGATACATTTGGATACCATTTCATATTACATAGGAACCTTATGCGTTATCAAGCCCCGAACCGACACTTAGCATCCAATCCAACATGCTTCTCGACCAGTGAATTCATACCTTTACCCTTTTTCAATGTTTTTCAAATGTTTTCAGGGGAGAGGGGGGGGGGGGGGGGGGGGGAATACAAGAAAAAGTACAAGGAAATCTTGTACTCAAACTTATTATTTCAGTTTAAATGTGTATATTCTGTATGTTTCTAATATCGAAAACAGTGTTAACCAATAATTCGAATTACAGTGTTAGCTTTCAGACTAATCATAGATTTCTTGATAAAGTGTTACAATCTATGTTATATTTCATAATTTACGAATAATTCATACTAATCATCAATTAGAACTAATACGAATACGAAAATACAACTAGGAACAGAACGAATACGAAAGTACAGCTAGGAACAGAACAAATACCAAAGTAATAATGCGAATACGAACACGAATAGGAATAGGAATAGGAGTAGGAATAGGAACACGAACATGAATTGTACTTTAAACCGGATTGTGTTTACTTTTTTTTTCTAGCATTTCTGTTAACATATTTCATTTTAGTTTTACTCGTTTTCAAAACCCTCCCCATATCTTTACTTTTTATGCAATTGAATAAAATCATGACTATTTAAGTAGTTTGGTTTATTTATTGATTAAAATTGAGTCATGGCGCCCCTGTATATTAAATAATGCTCCAACTTCCATAACATTGATCATATCCTCCCTTGTATATATACTAATATAGATGCGCCATTTTCCATCCTGGTCTGCATAGTTTGGTATTATTTCTAAGCCCTATCAACTGCATTCGTTCTCTACAATCTTCGGGTAAGCTTATGTCGGTTTCATTTTTCTTTTATTGCAAGTTATAAAGTGTTTTCTACTAATTCTTTTATGCTCCTATATCTTCCAACGTAATTTTGTTCAACAAATTTTTTTGCTGAGATCTGAATATTTTTATTTGTTTCTGCCTAGATTGCGAGCAGGTGATCAGCATGAATTTTGTGGTGAGATGAAAAAGTTTTAAAGTTCAATAAAAAATAGTTGATGATTATGAGTTCACAATTGGGTTTCCATGAACCAACAATCTCATTTTCAGTACCTTTATTTTTATTTAATTTTCGTCGTTATATACTTCAATACTTGTCGCGATGTGATCGAGTTACCTAACAGTAGAATATTTTATTTTGGTTTTATTTATAAGTTATATGATTTTACGTATAATTTATTACTGACAAGATCTGATCCACATTAAAATATGAACTTTTTGATGTTATTGATGCATGGTATCCCTGAAAACTATCAGCGACTCCCTGCATTTTTTTTTCAAAGATGGAACAAAGAGATTGGAACGAGTTGCCCATTCACTGTCTCGTTGAGATTTTTGGGAGAGTCGGAATTGAATCACTCGTAGAGACTATCCCTTTAGTCTGCAAGTATTGGTATGATGCTACATTCTATCCTCAATGTTGGGAACAACTCATCTTTACTAAATCCCGCTGTTTACAAAGTTCCAAACCTCCGAAGCCGATATTGGAAATAGACGAGGATTCATGGTCAGATTTTTGTCTCATGAAACCACTTGACTATACCAAGTATGCCGATGATTCAGTAGACAAGTTCCTTCAATTTGCAATCAAGCGTAGCCATGGACTTGTAACCACGATTGTGTTTCACCCTGAATCGCTTTTGAAAGCTGGCCAAATTGCATGGATGGCTCAAAGGTAAGTTGATTCAATCGTAAAATCATTAGACATGACAAAATGGGTGTGCGTTGTAATTGTTTAATGGCTTCGGGTCAAGATTATTGAACATATATATGGGTCAAAAACAACATATATATATGGGTCAAAAACAACACTGGTGGAATATATCTGTTAACAGTATTCCACAATAGTTAAATGCACACTTCTACGATTTAGTGTCCTATAACTTAACCCCTGTATTTTTCATCCTTTTTTAATATGTAGATGTCCCTCTTTAAAGCAATTGGTTTTACCAAGCTATTTGAGCTATGTGATTAACTTTGAAGTTTCAAACTCTATCTGCAACTGGAAAGAATTAGAGGCTTTACAAATTGCATCCTTGATCGGATTGAAGAAAACCATTGCCAACATTAGTAAACACTGTCACAACTTCAATCATTTAAGCATTTATGTTCCATGGCTCGATGCAGATGTGGCTTTAGCCATAGCGTCCCAACTACCACACATTAAGACTCTAGATTTAAGGTATTCGGCCATTGAAAGGGACGATCTAATCGTGATCCTAAAAGGGTGCCAGGAACTTCAGCAACTCGATGTTAGCAAGTTTAAAGGTGTGGCTGGCGATCAAGAGATACAGGAACTTGCAAGTCGTATTCATGTATTTAAACATGAGGGATCCCTTGCCTTATTTTCATCAACAATACAGTTGTAATTGTAGTTTAGTTTGTATTGTGTGCATGGCTTCAATACTGGAGCATGTAGAATAAAGAATCATGTATCATTTAGTAATGACAAAGAAATTTGTAATTGGCATATGAAGTGAAAGCATTAATTAATCCGACGAGTTGTTTGTAAGAGTATCCACAATAATAACAATGATAGTTCAATGAGATGGTTGAAAGAGGTGGCAAATCTAGTTGTCATTCAATTGATGAAGCTCTATAATAGTAAGATGTCATCTTGGCACTCAATGGATTTGGAGCTTAATGATCATTAAACTCTTCAATTATAAAAACGAAAGTTTTCTAATCTTGAATAGATACTATAAATTAGCTTTTGTAAATTTTTATTGAACTCTCTAGAGTTTAATGCATTGTGAGAAAAAAATTAATGGAGTTTTATGGAATTTAAAAAAAATAATATGTCAATCTATCGAACTCTGTAAAATTCAATACATTGTGGGTGCTATAAAAGATAAACTTTTGATATGCATAAAAATGAATTATAGGATGGTTAATTTGGGTACTTTGTTATATCCAAGGAAAAGTGCATTTTGATTGTTCGCGTTAATAAATATGCAAACTACATTATTACTGTAACAGCCTAACTTTCATAAAATTTTTAACTTTCATTTTCATAACATCAACCAAAGTAAATATAAAAATCCCAGTACATATCCATGTTATTTTGAAAATGTAGAGTATACAAAACTAAATGTGAAAACATCAGGGAATACATGTCCCGTTATCAAGCCGAGCCATTGCCCTTATCAATAGAAGTACTTGAAACATCCAAATAAATTGTAAGTACAAGCTAAGTTAGTTTCCCGATCACACAAATCATATAATCACATAATGTCATACTCATACATATACATACAAATTGCCATGGTCTTCAATGGAATGTCATAGGCTACCCTTATGGTCTTATATCCTTTTGCCATGGGCTCCCTCGTGGTCTTGACAAGCATCATGGGCTCACCCCATGGTCTTCACATAAACCCATACGTAAACCAAATAACATATCATTTCCCTTTCAGTACAAACGTATCATATTAATTAATGAGACGACCTTGGTGCCTTCGAGCCATGAGTGTGGTGAAAAGACTCGGCTCAAATACTGATAATAGTTGAATAGTCTTTGTCTCCGATTATCTACTCTACTCAATCCCTAAACATAATAGCTCCTCGGATTCAAATCGATGTTTCAAACGCTAAGAGTCAACATTAGTCAAATTAAAATTCAGTGCCAACATTCCGATTTGACTGAACTCGTCAACTTTGTCTATCAACTCGTCGGGTTCCCTTGTTCACTAGTCGGATCACAAAAATCACACCAACTCATCGAGTTCACTCATGAACTTGTCGAGTTGGCCAGAAAACCCACTTCTTAATGCATTAAGCTATTTCCTTTGAATGTAAAGAGTCCAAACCTCAAATCCCTTTCAAAATGATGTCTAGAAGTGTAAAATTTCCAACCTTACCCTCAAGGACCATCTATAGAGCTTCAAAATCAAACCCTAAGTCCTTTTAAGAGGCTCTTGACCCATTAAGCCCTTAAACTCTCACTCCAATGTTCTAAAACATAAATCTGATGTCCCAAGGTAAGCAAAACACATAAGGTTTCCAACTTTATGTCCATACATGCTAGAAATACCATCTAAGGCTCATTTATGACTTCATAATTGACAGATTACATGTATGGGACATAGGGACATATAAAGTTTGAAACTTTAAGCTTGAAGAGGTCATCAAGGGGTCAGATCTAGCTTGACAACCCCTGGAATCCACATCTTTTGGATAACTCAACCAAAACCCCAAAATCATGATTAAACTTCAATTAAGGAGATCTAGATGAATACATGACAAGGTGACAACTTTATACCTAAAAATGCTGCCTGTAAAGAAGAGTTTCTGGATCTAAATCCCCTCCTTCCAGCTAGATGCTTCCCACCTTCAAGCTCCTTTCAAGAATCACCAAAAACAACTCTTTTAAGCTCACCACACTCAAGATACAAGATGGAATACGAATCTAGGGTTTCTCTGGAGAGGGAGGCTGGTAGGGAAGCCAGCTAAGAAGGTTTAAGTCTTTTATATAGGGGGCAACAACCTAAAATTAGGGTTTCATCTTTAGTTGTCAACTCGTCGAGTTGGGGCTCCCTAACTAGTCAAGTTGGATCCTTGAACTCCTCAGCCAAATAGATTACTACACAACGAGTTAGAGCTCCCCAACTCGTCGAGTTCCAACCCAAAACCTTAAAAATGTTGAGAAATGAATAATGTATGGACCAAGCATTACAAATCTCCCCCATTTGAACTAGACTTTATGCTTAAAGTCTGCTGATGCAAAAAGGTCTGGATAATGCTTCCTCATATCGTCCTCCGGCTCCCAAGTCTATTAGGAGCCTCATCGGTGCTGCCATTGCACCTTTACTAACTTCACTTCCTTGTTCCAGCGGGCTTTCGTTTTTCTACCCAGAATTGCAATCGACTTTTACATATAATTCAAGCTCTCATCAATCTTAATATCAGCAAGCGATACAACCATCAACTCATCAGCCACACACCTCCACAACTTTGAAACGTGAAATTTACTGTAGATTTGTCCAAGCTCCTCAGGCAAGTCCAACTGATACGCAACCATCCCTACCCGGGTGGTAATCTGAAACTGGCCAATAAACCCGGGGCCCAACTTTCCCCGCCTCTTGAACCGAATAACACTCTTCCAGGGTGACACTTTCAGGAGTACCATATCCCTGACCTGAAATTCTAGATCTGATCTACGCCTATTAACATAGTTCTTTTGCCTACTCTACGTTGTCTGAAGCCGGTCGCAAACCTGCTGAATCAACTCGGTCGTCTTAAGTACCACTTCAGTACTCCTCATAACTCGATGTCCTACCTCCCCCAGCAAACTGGAGTCCAACATCTCCGACCATAAAGTGCCTCAAACGGTGGTCGGTCAATACTAGCATGATAACTATTGTTGTATGCGAACTCTGCTAGTGGAATGTAAGTATCCCAACTCCCTCCGAAATCCAATACATATATCCAAACATATCCTTGAGCATCTGAATCTTCCTCTCACTCTGACAATTGGTTTGGGGGTGATAAGCAGTGCTAAAATGCAATTAAGTTCCCAACTCCTCATGGAACTTCCTCCAAACCCTGGAGGTGAAACAAACATCATGGTCCGAAACTATGAACACTAGCACCCCGTGTCTAACCACCACTTCCCGCACATAAATATATGTTAACTTGTCGGTGGAGATACTCTTGGAGATTAGAACAAATGAGCGTTCATGGTCAACCTGTCCATAATAACCCAGATGGAGTCCAGACCCCGTGCCGTCCTAAGTAACTTCGTGATAAAATTCATAGAAATCTCTTCCTATTTCATTATAAGGATAGGGAACGGCTCCATCTTGCTGTGGGGCCTTTGTTGCTTGACTTTGACCTTCTTGCAGGTCAAACACCGCTTAACAAACCATACAATCTTCCCGTTCATGCAGGGCCACCAATAACTAAATCTCAAGTCTCGATACATCCTTGTGGCCCCCGGATGGATAGAAGACTTGGATTTATACACCTCCACCAAGATCTTTTGCCTCACACCCACGGAAGCTGGTACCCAAACTCTATCACACCGGGTCAATAGACACGGACCCTCTCGAACAAAAAGTGGAATCTGCCCCTGAACCCGGTCCACCTTCTGGTTCTCCTTATTTAGTCCTTCAGCCTGAGCCTCCTGGATCATATCCAATAGAGGTGAAATCACTGTCATCCTCATGCAAACATCTCATACTGGAGCACTCACCACCTTATGGATCAAGGCATTAGCCACCACATTGGCCTTCCTAGGATGGTACAAAATATCACAATTATAATCTTTTACTACATCGAGCCATCTCCTTTATCGTATGTTCAAATTATGTTGATCCATCAAATACTTCAGAATCATTTGATCAGTGAAAATGGTGCATCAGACCACTTACAAGTAATGTCTCCAAATCTTAAAGGAAAACACCACCGCCCCAGTTCTAGGTCATGAGTTGGGTAATTCGTCTGATCAGGCTTCAATTTCCTTGAAGCATAAGCAATCACATGCCCCCTCAACATCAGAACCACTCCTAATCCCAAAATAGAAGCATGACAATACACTATAACATTGATCTGGACCCCACCGAATGGTCACACTTTTCTTGGTCAATCAGGTCAAGGGTACGACAATCTTCGAGAAATCTTGAATAAATCTACGATACTACCCTACAAGTTCCAAGATACTTCGGATCTTCGATGCGTTCTTTGGAAGCTCCTAGTGCATTACCGCCTCGATTTTGGCTGGATCGACCAGTATACCCTCCTGATTGATGATGTGCCCCAAAAACTATACCTCACGCAACCAAAAATCACATTTGGAAAATTTGATGTATAGCCTCTCCATCTTCAAGGTCTCTAATACCTCACTCAAATGTTTCTTGTGCTGGTCTTGGTCTTATAATAGACAAAAATATCATCAATGAAAACGATCACAGACCGATCCAGCATCGTTCTACAAACCCGATTCATTAGATCCATGAATGTTGTTGGAGCATAAGCGAGCCCAGATAGAATCACCACGAACTCATAATGACCATAACAAGTTCTGAAGTCCGTCTTCAGTATATCCTCATCCCTAATCATAATATGGTGATACCCCGACCGAAGATCAATCTTGGAAAACCAAGATGCACTCTGGAGCTTATCGAACAAATTGTCAATCCTCAGAAACAGATAATGGTATTCCACCGTTAGCTTGTTCAGTTCTCGATAATCGATACACATCGTGTGTGACCCATCCTTCTTTTTCATGAATAGAATCGATGCTCCCCACAAGGAACTGCTCGGATGAATAAATCATCGGTCTAGCAGCTCCTGAATCTGCATAGAGAACTCCTGCATCTCAGGCGGAGCTAGAAGATACGGTGCCTTGGCTATCAAAGACACACCGGACACTAAATTAATACAGAACTCTTTTTTCCTCTCTAGAGGTACCCTTGGCAACTCCTCAGGGAATACATCGGAAAACTCTAGCACAACCGGAACACTGCTCAAATCTAGCGTGGCCTC